CTCACACCACTAATTCCCTAAAACTCCGTAGACTGGCTTCTCCACCCTCATCTCTCTGGTTTGCCTCCTTTCATCAATTCTAAAGCTAGCCCTCCAGGGCTTCCCTGGTGGCACAGTGGTTAAGAATCCGCCTGCCAATGCAGGAGACGCAGGTTCAAGCCCTGGTCCAGTAAGATCGCACATGCCGCGAAGCAACTAAGCCTGCGCGCCACAACTACTGAGCCTGTGCTCTAGAGCCCGCGAGCCACAATTACTGAAGCCCACGTGCCTAGAGCCCACGCTCTGCAACAGGAGAAGCCACCGCGATGAGAAGTCTGTGCGCCACAAGGAAGAGTAGCCCCCGCTCGCTGCAACTAGAGAAAGCCCATGCACAGCAACGAAAAACCAACACAGCCAAAAATAAAATAAATTAATTAAAAAATAATACAGCTAGTCCTGCAGTATCACATCATTTATGTGTCTGGTATCTGTCCGCTGAAAGCATCTATATTTTCATTCATTCATTTTAAAAAAGAGGAACAAGTCTGCATATTTTAATTCACTCCAACACTGGCTGGGCATGCAGTTAATATGACTGAGTCTGCAGTCAGTCTCTGTCTCTGTCTCTGTCTCTCCTTACACACACACCTTAGAGGAAGCACAGACACTTCAGGTCTCTTTTGCTGCACCCCACTCTGAACCACAGACTCAGGCTTAAAGTATTTGGACATTAGAAAACAAAATAATGTAGTTAATTTCTACTTAATTAAGGCTTAATTATTACTCAGTGTAACACAGATTTTTCTTTTACAGAATCTATAAAAAGGATCCTCATAAGCTACTGTTAATGTATTAAAGAGCTAAAGGCAACTTTATAGTATAAAAGCTTTATCAATGTGGTCATTAGACTCCCCCTAAATCCCATATTAATCCAATGGAATCTAGTCTAAACAACAGCCACCAGCCAATCTGTTTCCTCCACAGCTCCCAGAGTCCTCCCTCCTAGAGACTCTGCAAGTTTGACAATTCTGAAAAAGCCCCCTTTAACCTACCCAAGGGCACAAGACCTATCTCATTAAACATTCCACAAGTATTTATTGAGCCTCTACTATGTGCCAAGCACTGTACTAAGTACTGTGAATATAATGGTAAACAAGATTTTTGTCCCTGCTTGCAAAGGATTTAAAGCCTAGTGGGAAAATGGGCAGAGGCAGCATAGGGATCTATAAGAAAGTCATGGTGGACAAAAGGGTATAGTGGAAAGAGCCAAGAAATCTCAGTTCTAACTCACTGTCCTACTACTCTAGCAGTCTAAGATTTGGCAAGCCATGGTCTCTCGCTGAGCTTTAGTCTTCTCACCCATAAAACAAAGGAATTAGATAAAACAATATTTAAGATCCTTTTCAGTTCTAAGAGTTCTAAAAGAAGATAACAACAAAACAGCAGCAGCTATACTCACTGAAGGCTTATATGCCAGTAATCTCACTAGGCACCATTTACTTAAGATAAAATTTTGTACAGAATGGCAGTACTGGCATTACTGCATCACCTTCTCTTCTTCATTTTTTAAACTGGAAGGAGGATAGATGGTTTGATTATATTTCTTTTTATGGTTATACCCTATTCCCAAGAAGAATTTTAAGTGACTTACAGTAAAAATACATAAAGAATGAGCGTTAATAGAGAATAAAGACCACATTAAGTAATAAATATGAGAAGAGTATACCAAAAATTATTTCTTTAATTATATGCCATGTTGGAAGGTCATGATGACTGAATTGAAAACTCTCTCTTAATTCTAAACTTCCTGACAGCCAAAGCAAAGAGGAAAACACAACTGAACGTGTAGCTCTTAGAAAAGACACTAGCTCAACAGAGAAAGTTTTTCCAGACTGAGTTTTTAGAATAACTTACAACCACGTTTTTTGTTTGATTCTTCTAGTGGTGAAGAGGGCATGAGGGATGAAGGGAAATAAATTTAAACAAATAAACAAACCAGTTTTTCAGATATTTAAAATAAAAGCCTAACTTTATAATTATACATCTTATGGTTCAAGTTAATTCTTTTCAATTCACATATATTTTATAATTTACTTAGAAATGACCTTGGGTTAACTATTACTCTATCTGCCTATTTGGAAGAAGTTTCATTTTCAAAGGGCTACAGAACTTTATTAATAGTGCTGCAAAACATTCTTTGCTTTGAATGTTTCAAATGAAAATAGACTGAGCTACTGGCAAGACTCGGCCAGAATCTATTGATGGATTCCTTCCAAAATAACCATCCTATCAGGACTACTCACTCTTAACTCCATGCTTTTGGGCTTAAGAAAGAAAAGTTTATAAAGTAGATAAGTAAAATAAATGCAGATTAATTTGATTTAAATACAGATGTAAAAAACTTTAAAGCTTTTACAGATGAACTCTCTTTAGGAAACAAACTTGCAGAGAAAAACCTATTCTTCTGTTATTGCTTGACAGAAAAAAATGCATTTGAAATATCCCCAAACTGTTAACAATGCTAATTCTTTTTTTCTTGTGGTAAAATATATATAACATGAAAGTTACCATTTTAAGTTTACAGGCACATCGCTATGCAACCATCACCAGGCTAATTCTTTTTTAATATATCCATATGCCTCATCTCATTGTCAGCACTAACAACTTCATATTGCTTTCCTAAATATCATTTAGAATTGAAACTTAATATTTTCTTAACTAAGAAGTAAAACATGTTGACTAAATAAGAGATGCAATTCACAATATTACCATAATAAATTTTCCAACCTAAAGTTTCCATGACATCAGCAAACTATTTCCTAAAAAGATAACCCTACCAACCAAATCCAATTAATTTTTTAAAAAACTGTACTAATAACTGAACTCAACCCACAACCTTGGATATTTGGAAAAAATAAATGCTGAAATCCATATATGTATAATACTGATTGCAACATTTCTTAACAATAACATGTTAAGTAAATATTTTCTTATAAATTAATCCCATTGTGACTCAACGATACATACTAAGGGCAAGAATGGGCCAAGGAGCAGGAAAAGAAGATATACCACACATATTCCAGAGCCACACATAATCAAAAGCACACCCCTCTGTACAGACTTTACATTTTGCCCTTTAGAGAAGAATTTTCTAAGTTCCTTGGTAGGCATTTCTAAGTAACAACATATTAACCTTCTACCCACTTTAAAAGAATGAATTACAGGGGTAGAGACTGGAATTGGTAATAAGTAGTTCACCTATCCAGTGTCCACTCCAATTAACTGGGGCAATTTGGCCTTGGCATCATATTTGGGTTTTAATAAAATTTTCCTTTTTCCCAAGTAATTTCAAATGAAGAGATATTAACTGACTAATCACAGATTGCCTAAAGCAACATTTATTTGTTTCAGGGGATATTTATTGTGACTTGATTGGAACTAACATGATCTTCTTCTCTTTCCAGTAGATCCCTCCAATAATCATTAAGATACACCCACTATAAATGGGGAGAAATCCACATACACATTCAGAAGCTGACGATTCTTAGTCAAGCAATCTTTAATTTTTTAACTTTACAGGGCATCTATAGTTCAAGCTCATATGCACAAAGCAAGAGTTTCATCATCACCATAAAAGGTTAAGTACACTGGCTTACATCTTACGTATTGGGTTCTCATTTCATCAGTCAAGCTACAGTGGCTACAATCCAGTGGCCATTCAACAAATGTCAAATGAGTGAATAAACTGTTCAGTAAAGGGCCTTCCTGGAAGGAGTTACCATCACCCAGAGAAGGGGAGGCATTTAAGAGAAGGAGAGGTTTAGCGAATTTTACTCACAGAAATAACAGGAAATGCTCAATATTCTGTAATAACCTATATGGGAAAAGAATCTGAAAAAGAATGAATATATGTACATGTATAACTGAATCACTTTTCTGTACACCTGAAACTAACACAACATTGTAAATCAACTATACTCCAATAAAATTTAAAAAAGAAAAAGAACAGGAAAATCAGAACATATACCAAAAGGATTCAGATATAAAAAGAACAGGGTTCACAATAGCATGAACTTTATAACATTCTTAAACTTGGTAGATTTTTTTCGTCATATTTATTAGTGAGTAGCAATAAAAAGCCTTAAGATATAAAGGGTCCAGGTATATGTCCATAGGACCAGCAAGAGAGAGACACTTCATAGTGCTGTGGGAAGGAGAAGAACCCTAGAAATAAGGGTGAGCAATGCCAGCTCTAAATCAAAAAAGACAACAAAATGGGGTAAAGACTGTGTCTTTTTATATTAAAAGAGAGGGCATGGCACATAGTACCTACTGTCTGTTGAATAAATGATTCCTTCCAGCCTTCCTCCCTTCTTTCATTTCTTCTTCCCTTCCTTTCCCTCCTGCTATCTATCTACCTACCTACCTACCTACCTATCCATCCATCTATCCATCCTTCTTTCCTTCCTTCCACCAAGCTCTTCATTATTCTTCCATCACCCAATATTCATCCAATTCCTCCTTCCTTTCCTCCCCAGGGCCTGCAAAGTCTAAAGGAACAAGAAGTGCCTTGACAAAGGTCTTAAAAACTTTTTAGTTTGCCCTCTTGAAACCTATCAATATACATTTTAGTTCCAGGCGTTGAAAATAAATCAACTCTGGCCTCAAGTTCCTATTAAGAGGAAAAAAGTCCACAAAGAAAATCCATGGATATTGTCTTCAATATCAATGGTTGTTGAAGAAGGCTTTCTTGTTTTCTCCCAGAAAAGAAAGTTCAACTCTGCAGCAGAGCAATTAGTACAATCTTACCCTGAGGATACCCGAAATGGGTAAAATTTACTTTTAAAATTTCAGGTCAGCCCCTTATTCCTAACCCATATTTGAAAACCAGTTCCCCCATTTTCCCTCACTCCCACCTCCCCCAAAGTAGCTACAACAAACACTTTAAAGCTCCCCCAGTCCCTTTTGTCTCATATCCCAAAATGAAAGAACCCTGAATGGATTCAGTATCAGTCTCTTACCCTGCCAGGAAAGATAGGGAGTAGGAGTTGTTCTTGGAAACAAATGCCGAGCGGTGTGTCTGTATCATCTTGCCTCGAGAAGGTTCTTCATTCTCTGAATCTGAGAGACGTGCAGGACACTGGCAGGAGACAAGGGAGACAACACTGTCCATTGGGGGTTCCCATGGAATCTCCCAAAGCTATTGTTCAAATCTCTCTTTCTATTATATGTTCTCTGTGAGTTCCAATCTATGTTTCCAACTGCCTCTTGGGATCCCAATCTGGATATCCCAAATGCAGCTCAAACTGCAGTTTGACTCCAAAGTCAAACTCAATATTTCTCTTCTCTAAGTCCCCCTACCAACCCAGTTAGAAGCTTCAGTGTCACCCATGACTCTTTCCTTTCCTTTCTTCAAAGTCATAATAACATCGTATAGAGGTTTTGAGTACCCCAACACACCCAAGTATTTTATTTCATCTACTCTTTAACCTACCCCACTAAGAAGGGATTATTACCTTTTACAGATGGAAAACTGAGGCTCAGAGTAGTTAATCTGCCTAGGATTGTAGAGCTAATAAGTAGTTAACGTTGGCACTGTGATCCAGAGCATCTGTCTCCAAAATGCCTCCACGTTATTTCTACTTTGCTCCATTCTACTCCTCGAATGTCTTTCAGATCTAACTCTTCTCATGAATACTCATTGTCACTGTCTTTCCTTAGATTCTCATCATCTTCTGCCTTGACTACTGCAATAATCTACTTATGGGTCTTGCTCTCTCCAGCCTTTCTTCCCTGCAACCCCCTCCATATTATCAAACACACAGACAGAATCCCATCACTCCCCTGCTTAACCACTGGTGACTTCAGGATAAAGTCTAAATACCTCAGCATGATCCAATAACCTTCAGAAACTAGATCCGATATTCCTCCAAGTTTTTCTCCCACCAGTTCCGACACAGGGAACTCCTTGAGCTCTACTGCAATCATACTACTTTCTACTCTCCACATGCATCATCATAGTCTTTCAAAACTCCTATTCTTTTGCACATGCTATTCTTCCCTTTGCCTAAGATTCTCCTTCCACATTCTCTGCCTATAAAATACTCATTGGCCTTTCAGAGGCATCTTAAATGTCACTTTCGCTTCCAAACACCCTTAGATCAGCTTTTTCCATCTTGCTGACACTCATTCATTTACCTTCATTTTATTTTAGAGTCTCTTTTTGAGTCTTTAAATTTACATTCAAAGTTTCTTTTACGTGTGTCTTTTGCATACACATATGAGGATTTGCTCATGATTCAATATGAGTGTCTTCTTTATAGGGGGAGCAACTAATCACACTGAACTGTAGCTTCTTATTTAGGAGTCTGATTTCTGCTGTAGACAACAGACTCTTTGAGAGCAAGTGACCACCTTTTCTTTAAAACTTCTGATACCATTATATAGTAGGTAAACAAAAAAAGTCTAATAATCTAATGATTAACCAGTTTTCTAATGATTCAATGACTATCAAAGTTAGAGTTGTAGACAGAGGCATGCAAGGCATCTTATGGCTCAGAGTACCCTGTATTCCTTAAATGCCTTGTTATTCTCTAGGTTGATAGGCACATTCATACAACAGGCTATGTTTCCAACAGCCTTTAAGAAACAGTTGAAGGATTACAATTTACAGAGAAGCTTTTCAATTCTGTAGGGTATCTATCACTCCTTAAAGAACCCTGTTGTACAAACTATTCACTGGAGAAACTTTAATAGCACTAACCCATTACCAAATTTATTGGAAAGAAAGAAAAAGTTTTGACATCAATAGACTCAACGGGATAAATAATGGCAATTTTTTTTAGGTCTTTCTGCATAATCAATTCGGTACCAAATAAAAGAATGTTCAAATTCCAGCTCTATTACTTAGCTATCACTGTCACTATAGGTTAATTGCTTTACCTTTTTGAGCCTCAGTTTCTCATCTATAAAATTAAACATGATCTGTCTACTACGTATATTGTGATAAACCATTAAAAACACATAGTGCATTAGCTCACAAGTAGTAAGTGCTCAACAAAAGATAGATTTTAGGGCTTCCCTGGTGGCGCAGTGGTTGAGAGTCCGCCTGCCGATGCAGCGGACACGGGCTCGTGCCCCGGTCCGGGAAGACCCCACATGCCGCGGAGCGGCTGGGCCCGTGAGCCATGGCCGCTAAGCCACCGATTAAAAAAAAAAAAAAAAAAAAAAAAAAAGAGATAGATTTTATTTATATCAATTTTAATACTATTAATCTTTTAAGAAAAAACTCTTGGTATTATAATAGGTATATGCCAGGTTCCTTTTAATTGTTGAAAATAAATTTACATTATTATAAATAAATAATTATATAAACAGAAGGTACCCTGACCCCCAATCCCTCTATATTTCTACCCTCACGAAACCTAGAGCCATAAGATAGGAAAATATTTACCTCTCATCTTTAACTTTGGATAAAAACAAGCGTATAGGACTATGGATTCCTAAAATGGAAATCTCTAAAATGATATTTTTTAAAATGTTGTGCCTAAAAAAAATTAAAAGAATGATAATACCCAGGGTTGGCAAGGGTGTGAGGAAATTAGTTTAGCACATTTGTTTACTACTGTTTAATACAAACTTTAAAGTTCAAAGTTTAATACAAACTTTCTGGAGGTCAACTGAATAATAAGTACAAAAAGTACACTCCCTTTGATCTGATCATTCCACTTCTAGTAATCTACAAGGAACTAATGAGATACATGGATTTCATCACAGCAGTGGTTTAAGACAGCAAAATATCAACAGATTAATTAATTGGATAAATTCTACAGTAAAGAATAACTAGCAGACCACTAAATAATGATATGGGATTCTTTATTTACATGGAAAGACATCTAGGACTTATAATTTATTAAAGAAGGTTATAAAACAATATGTATACTGGGTTACATTTTCTGAAAAGAAAAACAATATATTTTACACACACACACACACACACACACAAACACACTTAGAAGTGAAGTCTGGAAGGATATTCACCAAAATGTTTATAGGAGTTATCTCTAGGCTATGGGATGACAAGCAATTTTTCACTTTCAACTTTATAATCTTTAGTATGACTATAATTGTTACACCAAATTGTTTTCCAACAATTTGCACTACTGTCGGTATTAACTGCACCATAACAAATCGTAATAAATTAAACATCGTGCCTATTTTATTTTCTTTCTGAACAAATAACTGTTTCTAGAATAAGCACTTCTCTTCCTCTATTTGGATTCAACTTGATAAACACATATCAAACACTTGTGATGTGCAAGGTACTATGGGAGATTTAAAAAACAGTAAGACACATTTCCTATACTTAACAAACTTACAAATTAAGTAGAGAAACACAAACACACAAATAACCATAATGTAAGGAAGAATGAAATAAGTCCTATAAAAGTTACAAAGTGAGGAGAGGAAAGTTGAAGAGAATGGATGATGGGAGTGGAGAAAAAGTGAGGAATCCCTATAGGTTCCAGGAAGGTGACAGCTTTTAAACTAGACATGGAAAGATAAATAGCCTTTCAACAGGTAAGGTCAGTGGCATTTCAATGAGATGAAATGCAAGAGCAAGGATTCTCAGGAGGGAAAGCATAGATTATACATTTGGGGGAAAGCAAACAGCTCTGTTCCCTGGAGTTCTCGGATGTAAGCAAAAATGGAAAGATAAGCTAGAATAATACTAAGGACCTGAATGTTGGGGTGAAGAGTTCTCATTTAATTCCACAGGAAATGGGGAGCCACTGAGGTTTTTGGAGCAGGACGGTGAAATGATCAGTCCAGCTCTAATCATAATACTCTCTATATAAAATATAATCCTTCAGCTGGCTTTTCACTGAGACCACTTGAGCTTCTTTTCAGTCCCAATATGAATGCATCCTTGGCTAAACTAAATGAAATTATTTGTTCAACACCAAAATTTCTTAAGACATATTTAAAGTAAAATTTTAAAAGTCCTCAAAAATATAAAATATAAAAGCAAACAGAAAAAAGGTAAAATCACAAAAATCTAAAACTTAAAGTGTTCATAGATCTGATTTTATTCAATGTACAGGAAATTTTGCAAAACTGGCCATTGCCAATCAGGATTTGTACTTCCTGATTCCTTTTAAGATTAAATTTTAGGTTGATGTAATTAATTTCTACTTCAAAGATTACAGTGGCAAAAGAAAAAATAATTAGAGCAATTTCCCATCCTTGCTATGAATTAATACTAGAGATCATTTCCTGGAGGAAACCTAGATCCGGCAAGGCCGAAAACAATAGGTTCTTTCTATCAAAAGGACCACAGTAAAGAGTAAGCTCTCTTTGTCAAAATTGGTTTGTCCTAAAAAGAAATGTCTTTCTGGGCTGTTTTCCCTGAGGACACTAATGGACAGTCCTGTTGGGATGAAGAGGCAGAGTTTGCGGTCTTTAGAGACTACAGACAACAGTTGGGGCTATTAGTCAGAAGACATACTATATGCACAAGACTATCATATATTTTATTCTTGCCTTCCTAGATAAACTGTATTCTCTCCAAAAGCAGTCTTTTTCCTTTTGTAGTTCCCAATGAACAGAGCATTGAGAGTACATAAGCATTTCATATTTGTTAAACTGAATCTTTTAGAAGGTTGGAATGCAAATGATTGTTTTTAACAATAATTAAATAGTAACAATTATTATTATTATAACTGGGGTAAAAAAGCCCCACATATACATTGACAGTCAGCAAATACTATCAATCCAAGAAAGCTTAAGTAATCTCAAATTTTGAAGTTCAGGAAAAATGCTTTTGCAAAGAGTACACCTAAAGCACAGAGAAATTAACCTGGCCAAAGTTGTACAATCTGTTACAATGCCGGGACCTGTTTAACAGGCAGACTTCAGGTCTAGAGATATTTTTTCCCTCTATTCTGGTATGTTGTCTGTCTTTATATATGGTAAAGCTTTATTAAATCCACCTAATTAAAAATATAGCCTGAAATACTAATAAGCCTGAATCACAAAACATTTTAATAGATATGACTCTAAAGGTATGCTAAGTACATATAGCAAGTAATAGAAGATGTCTAATCCAATATGAATTACTAAAGAAAAAAAAAAAACAATTGTAATCATCCATTTGAACTGTAATCAGTGGATCCTCCAAAAGTGCTTTCTTGTATTAGTTAAATATACCATTTACAACATTTTCCAGTAATTTGCTTGGTAAATAAGTAACAAAAAAAATTCAGGCAAGATTTGGCCCAATTAGAAGTATAATTAGGTTAAGTTTAAACTAAGTAATCTAATATTGAGGACCTACTTTGTAACTAGAACTGTGCTGTTTGGGGCATTATAAAGAGTAAAGGGAAGTAAAATACAAACTATAAGGAAATCTAGTTGAGGATATAACACATACAGAACTCAGATGTCAAATAACTCATAAATCAAAATGACAATATATGTAATAAAACTTACCACAAGTAGTAAACTATACTAGGTTTTTCCTCTCACTCACCTTTTTTCCCCACTGTTCCCGCTTAATCTTTCCACACAAGTCTCATTGTCCCATTCACAAATCATTTTCTCCAGCTCTCCATCTGAATGCTAAGTTCTTCACTATTCTTAAGCAGCACAGTCAATGACTGTTACTATTCACCAACAAAGGTTTTTCAGATCCACATCACCTGGGCTCATTGCTGATTTTGAGGCAGGTGTCCATCAAAAAGGTGATCTACTTACACGCTCTAGATTTGTCTTCAGTACTAATGGCTCATCTCTTTTTTTCTGTTCATCCATTTTCCTTTTTCCCATTTCTGTATCCTCTGGTAACAGCCTGTGGATTTGATCTTCAGAGGTTTTCTCCTCTTGTAACTTTTCTTCTCTCAGCTAAAAATACAAATCACACCAAGACAGTAGTTTTAGGCAACTATAGACTTAAAAACATCTTTTACTCAGTAGTCTATTAGAACAAACAGGAAAGTTTTGAGACTATTTTCTTATTTGCTATAAAGCCCTCTTAATTTTTAAGTCTACTTTTACTTGAATCTTGCCAAACATTCCCTTCATGGCTTAAGATTTAAGTGCTCTGCATTCTTGAGCAATATGAAATCACAAAGGCTAAGATAATACACATAATCAAAAAATAAGGTTTATTCACTTAGCCAAAAAAGGTGGAACCTAAAAACTTTCCTTACTCCCATAAACCAGATATAACTGCACTGGACCAGGAGAACAGCAAAGATGTAGGCCACAGAGGGCCAGAGAAGTTGGTCTAGGCAAGACAGGTCTTTGGGCCTACTGGAAACAGAAAAAATGGCTTATCACAGTTCCAACGTCCTACAATTTATGTGGATCTTGTGATCCACAGGATAGGTCAAGATACATTGTCTACAAAGAAAGTTAAGGCAGACTAATATGCTTCTCATTTGGGGGAGGTAGCATGGCATTATGAAAATAAGATGGGTTTTGGAATTTAAAACCTGGGTTCTACTGGTTCTGTCACTTACTTAGCAGCTATATGATCTTGGGCAAATGAACCACCATATGCTCACCTACAAAACAGGATAACTCTACTTACTTTGCAGATATTGTTGTAAGAAATAAATGAGATAATAATATAAAGTATTTACTGCAGTATCTTGCTATATACTTAGAGTATATCAAGAGTTCCCTTTCCTAACCTCCCTTTATTCTCTTTTCATTGCCTGGGATTTTAATAAAATTTAAATGACAATGTATATGAAAGCAATTCTAGGCTATTAATATTTTAATCATACTTATAAAATAAAACTAAAGAACAAATAAATATTTTTCATTGGCTGTCAACTGGGTTAAAAAACAAAAACAACAATAACAATAAACAACAATAAGATTTAGTCTTATCTTTCCAATTTCCATAGGTATGATTCCAATAAGCCTGAACTAGTCTTTAACATGCTGGGTCTAATTCAAGAGGTTATGAATATGCAAAGAACACCATAAACAATGTTACGTCAGGAGGAGATTCAAATGAAATAATGTACTCCCAACTCTGCCCAAGTCAAACAAGAACACAAGAGGAAGAAAGCTAACCCATAGCTAGGCAGAAAGCTAACCTGAAGTCTATGCTAACTGCCCACATGAAAGATCAATGCCTTTTTATGATCTTAGATCAATGCCTTTTAATGATCTTAGATGACCACAGGCTACAAAGGAGCATTTCACTTTTAGAGGATAGAAAGGCAGAGTGGCACACACAAAAAACAGATTTTAGCATCATGTTATCATTTACTGAACTCTATGTTTCAGGTGCGGAGCTAAAGCACTGTTACATTATCTCATTTCTACTTTAAAAATTAAAAAACAAAACTAAGGTTTAAAAAAAACTATGGCAAATTCACAGAGCCATAGCCTTGGAGCTGGAATTCAAATCTATGTTTACCTCGGTTGTTCTCAACCAAGGATGATTTTGCCTCTCAGGATACATCTGGCAATGTCTGGAGACACTTTTGGCTGTCACAACTGAGGGGATAAGGTGTGTGGTGCTACTGGCATCTAGTGGGTAGAGGCCAGGAACTGCTACTAAACATCCGAAATGCATAGGATAGCCCCCAACAATATATACATACACAGACGTTGCTATTTTAAAAAAACTAAATATTAAATTTCCTGTTTTACGTATTTTAGTGTTATTTTGTTTTGTGCTTGTGTTTACATACTATGTTCTCTGGCTTTTCTAGTGTTTTAGAATGCATCCTTTGCCTCCTAATAATGTTTATGGCTGCTCTCAAAGTTTTTGACAATAAACTTGTGTGTTGTTGGCAAAACAACCTTCTCATTGCAGTGTTGAGTCTCTGCTAACACAGCATCACCTTAAAGGTAAAAATTTACAAAATTGAAAAACCCATATATACATTTAAACTTCACATGAATCATGTTGGTGTTTTCTCTATATTGGGTTCTGCAGATGCGCTTTTTTTTTTGTCCCTTTTGATGGTTATTTATAAGGACTTGAGAACTTGGTATCTAGGAAAGAGTTTTTATATTCAGCGAAAATGACTCAGTGTCAGAAAATAGCATATAAACTTGAATAAGAAGTATCAATAGCTGCTGTTTATTGAACTCTTCCATGTTTGGGGCATTAAGTTTATAGAGCTTACCTTATCATTATCATTTTACAGACACAAAAATTAACATTCAGTGGTTATTTCCTGAAGTCAGTGTTAGAATATCGAAGAGCTTAGATTTTAAAGCAAACCACTGGCTTCAAATACCACAGTTTCTCAACCTCAGCACTACTGACATTTTGGGTTAGATAATTCTTTGTTATGGGGAGCAGGTCAGAGTCTGAGTAGAAGGCTTATTCATGAATACTTTATTGGGTAGCAGGAGTTAAGGATGGAGTAGTATAACAAGGAGAGACAACGAGCCAATAAAAGTGGTTGGCTTGACAGTCGGCTACAGAAGACAATATGAGAAACTGTATGCAATGCAGCTCAAGACTATTAATCAGAAGTGAGAAAGGGGGAAGCATATATATATATATATATATATATATATATATATATATATGTATGTATATGTATATGTATATGTATATGTATATAAATAGACTCCCACTTCC